AAAATCCTGAAGGAAGCCCAATTTCACTTATGGACTGTTACGCCCTAAGAAGACGAAGAAGATTTAAAACAAAGTCTCTCGGGAAAAATTCTAATCCAATATAGCTAACGCTTTCTAAGAAATGTTTTTTGTGTAGATATTCAAGCAATTGAGAAAAATTCGAAAGCAATGGAACACTCACAATTTCGACTCAAAACTACAAATATTTCACTATGCTAATCCTCCTATTCTCATTCTTCATGCACCAACTGTATTCTCGTACTCAGTGTGTTACTGCTTAAGACATAGCTGATGTCATGTGACAGCAAGGCTCCAAGAAAGAGGTTGACCACCATTATTTGCTATTCACATGTTGCATCATGGAATAGTAAGGTTTTTGATATTCTTTGTGAATAAAGAACTGTTGTACTATGTGTCCTTTATACTATTCTATGTTATTGAAGTATTCATTAAGTCAGTTTTTGTTAAAAAATTTAATTTATTGTAGTGTTGATTGGAGGTATTTTACTTGTTGTCTCTGTTAATCCTTTATTTCTTCTACTATATTTTTTGCCTCTGGCATGTTTCTGAAGTCTTTACTCCTTTGCCATCACTCCTGCAAAATGACATAGAAACTCATTTGCATTGCCTTTAGTCTTTGTTGCTCATTAATTTTCATTGTCTAGACTTCTAAACTATTCATGAGAATTGGTTTAGATTTCATATTGAAGATTCTTAGTTTGGTCTCTTTAGTCATATCTCTTCCAAAGTATCTTTTGATAAATCTGTTCATTCTGTTGTATTTCTGAAGTTGGTTTTCCATGTCTTCCGATCCTTGTCCAATGAGGTTGCCCAAATAAATGAATTTAGATACTTGTTCCATTATTTTCCTATTTATGACAATTTTGACTCTTCTCGTTTCTTTTTCTTGACAAGAGATTACTTTTGTCTTGTGGAAATTTTCCTATTATGTTACTACGCTATTTTATACAGTTCATGTGCTGTGATTTGCAACTCATCTGATTCCATTATTATGACTATATCATCTGCATGTAAGATTGTTTGGATTGTCTCTCTTTTACTGATATTTATTCCCTTTCTAATATTTTGTTTCCATTCCTTGATTATATGGTTGGCATATATGTTGATCAGGCATGGTGGCTGGCACATCCTCTTAACCCTTTGTTTGTTGTGAAAGATTTTGACACATTCCCATTATTCATTTTTATCTTCATCTATGTCAGTGTAGAGGCTTTCAATTCCTTCTCTAATTTCTTCAGGTATGTTATCTCCTTCTAGTAGTTGCTACATTAAACCATAATCTACTGTCAATGCTTTCTCAAAGTCTATGAATAATATGTAAGTCAGTAGATTCACTTTCTTGTCTTTCCAGGATTGTTTGTAAGTAAATATTGCATCTTTTGTACTCCTTTCTCTTTTGAATCCACTCTGTTCTTCCCCAGTAATGTTTCACTGTATTTGTTCATTCTATTTCTTAGTATGTTGTCAAAAAGTTTTGATGCTGTGAGTAGTAGCATAAACCCCCTACAATTATTACAATTTGCTTTTGCCCCTTTGCTCTATCTCCCTAAATAAATAATACCTACATACATATATACAATGTTAAAATCCCCCCAAAAATGGAGGGATCTCTGGAACTGCCCCTGCTATAACAATAAGTGAGTGTTGTTATGTATAGAATTTTTTAAGGGGAGTCTAAAGGTGTAGTGTCTAATCTGCTTGATATTTTCTTAGAAAATATTGCTTATTGCTGAATTTACATTTTATTTCTATTTGTTGAGATATCAATTTATAATGTATTCATTTGAGATACTGAATTCTTTTTGTTACTTCTGAGCATTAGTAAAAACTATATTTTTATTATGCGAGTTTGGCTAGTGTGTGATTGTGTGGGTGGATTGTGGGGGGCTGTTGCAACATGAACCTCACTCCCTTAGACACCTAGTGATTATATATGTATTGTTGCCAAACAGATTAATGGAAAATCTCATGTTATGAAATGTTCACTTTCATGAAAACACAATTTGGTTTTCTTAAATTTTTTCTGTTATTTTGTTTAAATCTTTCCTTCTGAAATTAAAGATGTAAGGTGTATAAGTGTGTTTGTTACCATTTAAATTATATTTCCTTATTTTAATATATTAAACGTTAAGTTTTGATGAGTATAAGAAACCCAAGTGTTGAGGTATAAGAAAATTGAATGACGCAGCACGGTCAAAAAATGAAACACCTTACTTCGCACATCAAAGATAGGTAGAATGAGTATTGTAATGATCTGATAGATATTTCTGTTACATACTTGATTTCATCAGTATTGACACATATGTTTTGGTTACTTGATTTGGATTTTTTGTTGCAGAAAGAACTACTACTTTCATAACAAGTAACATTTTAAAAGGTTTTTAAAATCAATTACTGTTCTACTTGCTGTAGCTCTGATGAGATCTGTAAATCAGCAAATGAAGCATGTGACCCCTTCTTTCCCTCTTTGTTAAATATTATTTGACTTGCTGAGTTGATAACAAAAAGCTCTTTTCAGTATGTATCTATGCAGGTGTCATTAATACTACAAAGTGTAATTTTCTTGTGATTTTCTTTATTCCCAACATTCCTAAAGTGTGTGAGAGATGTGTTATGTTCTGCTCTCTCTGAGCATTTGTTGACCTAAGTGTAACTCATAAGAATAAGGGAAATGTATGTACATTTAACAGGAGTATGAGTTAATAAAATAACAATGAACAATATTGATACTCATACGTAGTTTAGATGATGGGCCCTATGATAAATGGAGGGTGGGTAAAATATTTTAATACAATTCTTAGCAGTTTTTATAGAACAAATTACAATGTTGTTCATTATCTGTGATGAGTATGGTAAGGAAATTATGCTCAGAATAATTTTTAAAGATTAATTTTAAAAGATTCATAAATCCTGACAGAAGTAATGTTCTGATGGTAGAAGTTGAAGAGGAAGCAGAACCTCCCTTTTAAAAATTAAAAGGCAACTTGAAACTCCCTGGCTGGATTGACTAACTGAAATTAAACCTTTGATGTGAATATTGGTCAAAGCGAGACGGAAGCACAATAATTTTCTGAATTTTGAGGTGTTTTCCAAGAAATACATATAATTACATGTGATAGACATTTGCAAGACATTTTAAAACATATATTTCAAAGGGCTTATTTAGAAAACGTAACAAGTTTTTATTTAAGTGTTCATAAACGTATCTACATTCAGGATCGCTATGAAAAGAAAGAAGAAATTAATAAGTAAACTGAAATTGTATCCATCAATGAGTTTTTCCTGACATAGAGGAAACAGGAAATCCAGGGAATATAATTTCACCACATTATTTACTGGAATCAGGCAAAGGACTTCAATGATTGTTTTTGTTCGCTTCCTTTATCCTATTGTTCACATCACAGCAAATATCGGAATTTTTGTTCTGAAGAAAGAATTAATATCAAATAGTTCATTCAAAAGCTTTTAAAGCCATTAACCATAACATTTTGCTTTTAAAACTACAAAATTAGTTAATAATTTCATATGGCCGTGCCTATTTATTAAAACTTGAAGTTTGACATTCCGAAGCGTGGGACTGTATTTTCATGTAATTCAAATATTTATTATTACAGAAACAAATCACAGGAATTATATTTACCATTTATCAGTATTAACAGCTCACTACCAGAAATCCATTTATAATACATGTACTTTACAACATCTTACTAGAGGACATCACACAAAATTGATACACAAGTTCAAATTCTAAGTAAAATCTTTTCCACTGCAAAAATGTTTCTACACAATCAGAGACTACACTGATTATCAGAAAGAAAAATAATTTTTATTTTAATCATGATGTATAAAGCAATAGTTAATATTTGTTGTATATATTTTTAAAAAGACAATGCCTGTAATAAGTAATATACTTAAGCTTCTGTGTCAATGACAGTTATTTCGATCAAATTTCTCATTGTTTCGCTGTTCCAATGAGAGATCCAGATGGCCCCTTTGCTACTAGCTATAAATGTAGCTGTACAATACACACATTTTGTATAGCTTTTCTTTTGCTAGTTGCGGTAGGAGTAGAGTGGAAGAGATTCTGGAGCTGAAGATTTGCTTAGATTATACTTCTTCCCCGAACACTGCATACAGTTTTTACAGGTATCTGACGAAAAATAGGTGGGGGGGAGAATACATCCAGTAAAATGGTTATTTCTTAGATATAAATAAACAAAACCTTTTATTCAACATTTTAAAAATAGGTTCCAAATTAAGATCTGTATCAAAGTGCAAAAGGTCTCTAAGAAGATGCACCTAACACTTCTAGACGAAGCATAGTTTTATTTCTTGTCCATAAGTGCAGTGGAGTCGCGAGGGCAGCTGAGGCCTAGCGTCGGTGTAAAGGATAAAAGGGAACCAATGGGCAATGTCCCTTGCGCCTCAGTTAATAGCGCTCTTTCTGCAGGTGGGTCTTTTTAGATGGGGCCCTAGACTCAAGCTTCGTTGTCTGCTCGTGTACCTCCACACGCGCACATATCCATTGGGAATGAGGAACAGTTTTTCCCATCTGCGCAAACATGAGCGTTTATGGTCATAACTTCTGACTTCATACGAGATGGCTAACCGTATCATGAACGTCTGCGCGCATAAAAGGTGCGTCGGTGGTAAACCATCTGGTTTCCTTTACGATTAAACCTCTGCAGAGAAGTTAGCGACTCATTTCGCCCTCATAAAAGCATATAATGAAGGGACCGATGGATGGGAGACGAAGTCAAATGTTCGCAGATCCAAAAATGATGGGGGAAGGGCGATGTCTCCAATCCAGATTTTAGTTATATTACTCAGTTTACCTACAACAATTACCACGATCGCATCTCCTTTTAGAGATACCTGAACGGACGGCATTTCAAAAACTCTAAAAAACTTCTTTTGTTTGAACGATTTTCTGGGGGAGGGGTGATTTCTTTGCCGAGGCGTGGGCGTGGGGTACTCACTGGAGTGGTCCCCGGAGCGGCGGCGCCGGCGGCCGACCACCTTGGTGCTGCCCGGGGTGAGCAGCGGGTCGTCGTCCAGCGGCACCTCCCACGCGATGCTGCTGCGCTTGGTGGCCGGCATCGGCAGCTCCTCCAGCGAGTCCTCGGAGAAGTTGGCGCGCTCGTCCTCCTCGTCGTCGGCGTCGTCGCGCGCGCGCTCGCCCTCGTAGTCGACGCGCGGCGGCGGCGGCGGCAGCAGCTCCGGCGACCCGTCCTCCTGCGCAGCGCGCGCTCGTCAGGGCCCTCGCCGTGCCCACACCCCCAATTCATCCCACTCCACCCTATCCCATCCCACCCAAACCCATTCTATCCCCTTCCATCTCATCGCCACTCATCCCATCCTACCTCATCTATCCATCTCATCCCTTCCACCCGATCCATTCATCTTACTTCATCCATCCATCTGGCGGCGGCGATGGTGTAACCGTTAGCTTACCGGATTATTGTACCCAAGTTCAAACCCGATCGAAGCCGTGGATTTTAAAGGGCGAAAAAATCCTTCGTACGCCTTCCTTCGGAGGGGAAGTAAAGCCGGCTGTCCCATGTTAGTTGATTTACTTCCATGTAAAAGATCCCCATCCTAAATGACGCCTCTGAGCTAAATTCAAATCGCCTGTTTCTCGCTCAAGAAATACCTCCTTTCTCTGCTAGTTGATGAACGGAGCGTAGCGAAATTTGCGTGGTCAGACGGAAGAGCGGGCCTGATGGCCCGAGTCTCGCCACGTAAAATAAGGCAAATACAATTCAATTCAATTCCATCCTATCCCACCTTATTCCATCCCATCCCACACACAATTTGTTCAACGAGAATGAACGTTTTTGGAAGCAAATCGCGCGCCAGCTCTCTAGGGTTAAAATGTAATACGAGCTAAGATCCGCTGAGCTGGCTCAGGGCATCAACTGATGGCACTGCAGTGCCGCTGACCGGGAGTTTCTAAGGTGCGAGTCCCGACGGTGACAGGAATTTCGACTCTAGCTTGTCACTAGGTAGAATTCAGCCGCTCTCTGAAAGAGATTCTAGCAGCCTGTTAAGACGAATGTAAGCATATGTCACGCAATAATATTAGTCGAATCAGTCAGATGACATGTGATAACACAGAAACAAGTACACCATCAAGAAAACGTAACCTTCCTTTTAGCTATGCTGGGTAAAAAAAAACATTTTTTGCAAGAAGTAAAACGAAATTTACGGGCAAATTACAGACAATTTCTGTTTTGGGGTTCACCAACTACTTTGTTCATTAGTTCCGCGAGTGTGTTAATTTGCATGTTTGTAGTGATCGCTATTTAATAAAATACTTTACCATCTCGTTTTACGATGAAATCGTGCCACAATCTGGAAGCCATTATACAATTAAACTGTGGTCTACTAATTTCTCAAATGTGCACAGGACACACGAGTAATAAGTAATAGTTTTACAGATTGCCCCCACACACATGGATGAAATATCTCATTTCCTATCGAATTTTCAGGCAGAGAAGTATTATAAATCATGAGCACCCATTTGAATGTTCTACATCACAATCATAGGCTTTTGTAATTAAAATAATCTAATGCAGCGATACATTGCAAACAAATGTAGAAAACTGCATTACATTTAATCGTCGCAATAAAATTTATTAAGCGTAAATGAAACATTAGTATTTTGCGAATCCCATTTTTCAGCGTGGTAGTCAGACATTATTTTCACTGAGATACCGTCAATTATGTGGCAGGGTATCTAACCTTGAGCCAAGCATATTTACGAAACAACAATGATTTCAATCGACTCATAGAAGAAACAATGGATTGAACCAGATTCTATTATAGGATAATTACAGAAAGATAGGAGCCGATATAGTATACCATTGCCTCCTAAACATATTTGGTCTATATTTGTAAACCCTGGCACATATTTGTACCATTTGGCGGTACTTAATTATTTAAAAATTCCTTTTCAATTATTATTTGTTATTCGATTTGATATTTCGATTCAGAGCCCACTGCGAGAAAAGAGCAAATAGTTACCTGTAGCCCAAATTTTATAAATATCAACAATGTTTAACTTCACCAGACAAAACGTGAATGCGAAAATTTAAAACGTTATGGTGTACTCAATATAATGTGTTGTGAGGTATTGAATATTAACAAAAACTTTCAATTATTTGTACTAATTCTTAGAAATGGGGAGTGTAGAGTACGATAATTATGGGGTGTTAAAAACGACCAAGAAATACTTCCATCTTTAATTTTACCAATGATAAGTTTTCACCATAACAGGAAATATTTCTTTCAATCCCACCCACATCCACACAGAGCTGACTTGGGTAGCGCGAGCTGGCTAAAGTGGGAACGCCGAGGATGTCTTGGCGCGAAGAGTTGTGGAATCGAGTCGCACCTTCCGAGTCTTTCTCCCTCTTACCTTTCACTCTCTGTGCTACAGTACTGTGCCAAAAACCTTAAGACAATAAATATAGGCGACTGACAGTCATTTTCGACGCCTTCCCACTACACTTTCCCGCCACGCATCCTTTCCTTTTTCTTTGCACCAATAGCAATCTACCAACTTTCGCACAGCTCTGTATCTGGAGGGGAACATGCGATGAAAATTGCGGAGTGAATACTGCAAGAGGGCAAGAGATCTGAGTAAATAGTTTGGGCTGTAGTCACGCGATCCACAGCCGTGGACGTGTATAGCATTTGTACAAGAGCTGGGGCTATCGTTTCTGCTGGTCAGACAAAACGTTTTAACCAAATATACATCACTATATAAAGTAAATACTCGTACAGGAACGTCAGAATAAATGTTACTAACTTCTAGGGCATGTACAGGGGCGAAGATGATTATTTTTAGCCAACGTGACGAGAAATTTCATTCAAACAAAATTATGTTGTGTAATAGAAATGTGAAATTTCCTTCCGATTGTCCACTTACTGCGCATTAGTGTTTAGCAGTTTATGTTCTGTCGCAGCCGAGGAGATTTCATCTACCTGTCAAAAAATAGAGGACGATGAGTTGTCCAACAGTGAGGAGTAAAAGTCTAGTGGCGAATAAGTTGTCTGACAGTCAGGAGTCAATATCTGGTGGACGACGAGTTGTCTGACAGTCAGGAGTCACGTGTAACTTTTTTATAGGATATTTCCCACCTCATATTTATGGGCGAAAAGTAATCATCTTGGACGCCCTACGCGTCCAAGAAGTTTGTAACGTTTACTCTGACACACAAGTACAGTAAAACTTGCTCAATGCGGAATCTCAAGGGACCAGTATTGTTTTCTGTATTGGAAAAAAATTCTACCGTATTACATTGCATAATGCGGAATCATGTTCCTAAGGACTGCGGTTTATGTTCACACTTCCGCATTAAGGCCCATTCACAATGCAAATGTAAACATAAGCATAGCGCATAGACATAAACATTAACATAAGTGACAGACTGAAGTAATCACAATACCTAACATAAACGTAAGCAAAATAAGAGTTTCTATTGGCAGTGAGACATTCTGTTTTTCTATAATTGGATTTGAGAATGAATTTCAAGGTATCGACTGTGTCCATGGCCCATATGGCGTTAGTTCTTCTATCGACTTCGCTCCAATTTCGATTCTCGATTTTGAGTTTCCATTCTGTGATTGGTTCATTTCTTATGTCTTACTTAAGCATAAGCACAGAAGCTTGAAGCTTTTAAGTTAATGTCTAATAAGTTATGCGAACGTATTGTGAATAAGTCCGCTTATGGGCGTAGTTCTAACTTTTATGATAACGCCATGGTTATGTTTTTGTTCGCATTGTGAATGGGCCTTTAGACAAATTTCCGACACACGTTGTACATGGAGCAAGTTTTAATGTATATCGAACGTTTTCAACAAGACGTATTTTGCGTCCTTTGGTAATTTAGTTCCTTTTGTCGCGGCAGGGGGAGCAGGGCTGTGGGTGCGTACCTGCGAAGGGTGCCTGCGCACGCCGCGGTGCCGCTCCAGCACGCCGGGCACGGTGCGCGGCGGCAGCCAGGGCGGCGGCAGGCGCGCGGCCAGCGGCAGCGCGTCGTGCGCGGGGGTGGGCGTGGGCAGGCTGCCGAAGCGCAGCTCGCGGGGCGGCGGCGGCGGCGCGGCGGCCGGCGCGCACCCCGCGCCCGTCTCCCACCCGAACGGCCGCTGGTGACGCGTCTTCGGCTGCACACACGCAAACACGTTTGCTGCATTGAATACTAACAGACTTGACTTTCGCCTTCTTGGCAACAGGTGAGAGACAATTGTTTCATAAATTGCCAACTAAGTCAAGTTCACGCTTTATCGTTTTCTTTGGTCAAATATGTTTGTGTATTTAAGTTTCAGTCGATTTTGATGTGCACTTTATTTGCCTTGAAGAAAAACGGGTTGTAGATGAAATATTATTAATTTGGTGATAGAAATTTGTTGAAGAAGGTTTTGAGTTGAAAATATGCTAAAAATCAGATAAATATGTTGAAAAAATCACGAAATTATCCTGAAAATCAGTCAGAGTAAATCCCTTCTTCAATCGGACAAAATACATTTTTTAAAATTCAAAAATTGACTGAAGACTTTGTTTGTTACTTTGTTGCATTGTTACTTACAAGCAACATGTTACATGGACGTGTAAAAAGAATGGAAAGGGTAAGGGAGCGAGCAAATACTATAGAGACAATACAGGGCACTTCCCCGTTCTTCCACGCAACCAATGGAAACAAGTTCCTACTAGCGCTCCTAGTGTCAGTACCTGGTACTTCAGCCCCAAATAAAGACATCAATATGATACTTACAGAAGAAATCCTTTTTTTTTAAATGACCTCACGAACTAAGTCTCATTTTTACCTACTTTTTCTGAGACTTCATTACATTGAATGGTTTAAATTACGGAAAATAATAATGTACAAAAGATTATATTCCGAGAATAAAATGGTTACAAATGCAATATTTTTCTTGCTTTAACACTTCCAGTGATACATTTGATAGTTTTTCATTTGCTTTCTTTAAAAAGTACTTTATCAATACATTATACCTCCGCTTACATGCAAATTAGTACACTCCTCACAAACAATATTTTCCAATTGAATATTAATGATTTGCATTAATGGTTTATTTTACCTCAAGTTTACTATGACGTAAACAATTTAAAAAGTCTCTATCGAAAACATACTTAACCTTGAAAACAAACTAATAGCTAATTCATTTTGGTAAAAAAGAGTGGCATTCACAAACTACTTAGTCAGAATACGCGAGTTTCTTAATTTATGCTTTTCATCTACATTCGATAAACTAGTTTTACGTGAAGAACGAACGCGAGTTCTTTTGAATTTCATATATAAAACAGCGAAAAACTGCACAAATTTTTCCTGCCATGAGGAAGAATGCCAAGAACACTATTGTAAAATTAGTTTTCCAAAAAATTGCCAGAAAGACAATCAAATTCTAAAAAATAGAGAAGAATACAAACACCAACAGAGCACTAAGCTTAGGCTGTATGAGTTTTCACCAGGTTCTGCCACTAGATGGAGCTGGCATCAGTATTCCTCGATATATCGCAAAGTGCCCTGTATTGTCTCTATAGTATTTGGCTCAGTGGGTGCGTACCAGGGTGGTCTGCGTGGCGGCGGTGGTGACGCGGCGGCCGGGGCCCGCGGGCGCGGGGGCGTCGCGCAGGGAGGCCAGCGCCGACAGGAAGGCCCGCCCGCGCCGCGTCTGCTGCGCCGCCGGGGGCTGCGGCTGTTGCTGCGCTTGCTGCTGGTGCTGGTGGCTGCTCCGCTTCGCCGAGTTGCCGGGGGAAACCCTGCAACAGCCCGCACCTCGTCAGCCGAGGGCCCAACACGCGGTGCCCTCTCGTTCCAGGACGACGGGAGGGGAAAAATGAATTACAAAAAATACTAATTGGGAACCGAGGTTTAACATTGCGTTTAACATTGTAAGCCCCCTCTTTTTTTACATTCTTGACATCGCTTGATTTTCGTAATTTTCTGGTCCGCATTTTATGTGCTTTACAGCCAACTTATCCACTTCAGTTATGTTAGAATCTGAAGAGATTACATACATTTATATTACATACCGAAAATTTGTATATAGTACACGTTCATGACAAAATAAAGTAATTCTGTAAAGCTTGGCCTTTCAATCAGGGATTGGTAAAAACAGATACTAAGTATAGCTAACCTTACTTTTGTGTTCTGTTATGATTTGGACTTGACGCAACAAAAACAGAGGAAATAATAGTCACTAAAAACGACCAGCGTCCGTTAAGGTTTTAATAGTTAACTCATACACCATCTTTCTTTCGATTGGTCTTAGTTGACAGAGGATTGTTAAATTCTTAACGGACTCCAACCCTTTAAAATAAAAAAAATTAAAAAAATATGACTTGTACCAAAAGATGACGTATAAGCACACTTATTCCAAAAGAATGGTGTTTCTTGTTCATGTTTCTTTCCTTATAATAAGACCGTATGATGAAAGATATATTGAACGACACATTGCCGATAACACAAGTAACAATCTCGGGAAATTATGAACTTCTGCTACCGCCTTGGTTTACAAACTTGATAAGCATCTGTTATTTGCTGTTTATCGGCCTGATGACATTAATTAACACTGTTACAGCGTAAAGACCAGAGAGAGGATTTTTATATTCTAAAAAATCTTTAAACATCCTTTAAAAAATGCATTTATGACCTAAAATTTGCAATATGCACTTTAGTATGCAATTAAAATTAACAATATTTCTTTTCCTTTATAAACCCATGTTGATAAAATTCAGGAGGAGCATGCTTTGAATGAATAATTATATTTTTGTGCAAACATAATATAACCTAGCTTACTTTGTGGGAGTAACACGGAATTGAAGTAATTGAAGTAAATATGCCCCTTAGTAAAGAACATTGTATGTCTGCTTTATAAATCGTCCCGTCCTTCCCAAGAAATAGCTTAATTTACGTAAGTGTTTTATCACCTATAGAAAAAAAGGAAACTGTGATAAGCTTTTTCTAATCAATGAATATTCACAAATAAATAGATTCTACGAAAAGATGAAACATTTTTAGAGATAAGTCTCTATTTTAACGAAATATGCAAAATATGCGCTTGTATATACACTAACAGCAAAAATCGGGCAACTGTGCACTAACATACTAATCTACATAGCGTCCAATTCTAACCCAATGTCAAAAGTTTTCCCTTAAGTATGCCCTGCAGCAAGGTACAAGAGCAACTCTGCAAAACCCTGGAACTCCGCTCCTAGCACTGAGAAGGGCGCGGGCGGGGCAGTGGGGAGTGGCGAGTGGCACGCACCGCGGGAGCAGCGTGGAGATGATGCGCTCGGCCTCCTCGGGCGGGGGCGGGAAGTCGGCGACGTCGGTGGAGGCGAGGGCGTCGCCCGCCCCGTCCTCCTCCTCTTCGTCGTCGTCGTCGGCCGGGGGCGGCGGCGGCTCCGGGGCGAGCGGCTCCACCGCCCCGCCCCCGCCCCCGCCCTCGTCGGGCACGGGCCGGAAGCTGAGCACGAACTTGGCGCGGCGGCCGTTCATGCTCATGTAGCCGTCGTCCTCCGACTGGTGGCCCAGCGACGGGCTCTCGTCGTCCGGCGTGCTGGACGAGGCGTGGCCCGGCGCGTCGCCGCCGCCGCCGCCGCCTGCAACACAACCGCCAAATGCCAAACAAACAGGGGAGGAGATGCTGGGCCGTCATATTGCGCCCTTCCTCGGGGCGAAATCCATGACGGTCGAAGCGTTAATTACTGGGCCTAGGTCGCAGCCAAGTACCTATTCGCTGCGGCCTATTACTCCTGAGTTTTTGGTGCGGACACCTACGTTTTCAGCTCTAATAGTGTACATATTTAAGAATGTTTCTGAACGTTTTTTTAAAAAAATTCCTGAGCTACAGTACGAAAGATATAACGTTGAATTGAAGAAGCTCTCTTTCAGAATAGATCCCTTGCTTGAAACTGACCAATTTTCATTTTTTTTCAATTTATTCCCGAACCCTGATTTTGATCAAGAAGTGGCCACCGCACACATTTTGGAAATGGTCAGAATCTTAGTTAAGAAACGGTCACTCCAAAGCTTTCACATATTTGAAATTAGATCAAAAAATTACCAATTCATGGTACATAATTGCAATACCAATCAACATTAATAAGATGTTTTTAACGAATTATTTGTAGAATAAAAGGGAAAGGAAATTACTACTGTTCTACACTGTACCACTAGAAGACTTAAGCATCATGTTCGAGAAATTTGAAACATTATTTTTCATATCTGTTTGAAAAGGCCGCTAGAGAAAAGGTTGCTCTGGCGTGATGGAGAGACCAACTGGGGTAAGTTCCAGTAATGTTTAAATTCGTGTACAGCTCGCGCGCTTTCGGGGCAGCGGGAGAAGCAGCCAACGCGGGTCACGCCCCCGCATCGGCGAGGCGCCCAGAGCAAGTCTCGGCGGGCAGCGGCGCTCGCTATATAAGTTGCCAGCAGGCGCCACGACGGCAGTGCGGCCTAGTGAAGTTTGTATTGTTACGCTGACCGAAGACATGCCCTCTAGATTGTGTTCAGTGGTCGCTGGTGACTACGCTTTCGTTTGGGGACTTCTTCTGGATAATGGCAACTAGGGTCTGGACTTGGTTTTTCTTTCCCGGCAATTTGGTGACTGTGGGCGAGATTTTGGTACGAGTACAAGGGAAAAAAATATAACAATGTACTCAATAAACTAATGTTATTGTTACTTGTGTGTACATTTTTTATTTTTTTAAATTTATTTATTTAATGTCGTTTCTTAACTGCATGGTTATATAGAGGCCACTGTGATTTTTAACACTGAGGTAACTAAAGGGACCTCATTATGAACACATAAATGACAATACGAACACACACAAACATTTTCCAATCCCAATCCTCCTGGGGCGGGATTAGAATCCGCGGCCTTTCGAGCCGAGGTAGCAATGGACTTTCTGCTTTAGCGACCTCGGCTATCCAGGCCAACTCTGTGTATTTACATGCGCGCGTGCGCGCGCATGTGTGTGTGTGTGTGTGTGTGTGTGTGTGTGTGTGTGTGTGTGTGTGTGAGTGTAAGTGAATGAGTGTACGTTATTTGATACATTTGAGTTTGAATATTGTAGAAAGGTGGTTTCGTAATGATTTAAAGCTATTTCCCACGTAGTTTGAGTTCATGTGATTTGTTTT